TTTGTAGCAATTTTAAAATATACAAGTTTATCAAACAACTATTTTTAGCAGTTTGGGTAAAATCACTATTCACAACTCTCAAACCAATATACCAAATAGTCCCTTAAAGTAACTTTTCTAATTTGCTAGTGGTTTAAACCCTAATTACTATATGTTAGTCTCTAATTGTTATTTATTAATCCCAAACTGCTAAATAAAAAATATTAACAAACACATAATTTATAACTATTTTAAAATAAATAAATTTATGAAACACATATCTTATAATAATTTGGTTAAAACCACTAATCATTATCTCCAAATTACCATACCAAACAAACCCTAACTTTTAATACCATATTAGTGGGCAAATAAACCTAACCTTTGCCACCTTTACCTGAGGACACTTTTTTTTTTCTTTTTTACTAAAATTCGGGTATTTAGAAAATAAATTAAGTCTCAATTAATCCAATGTCATGCCACATCGACCCCATAAAAGAGAGTTCTCTCAATGACTATTTCTATATTTACAATACTCAAATTTAAGATTTTACTTAAAAAGAACTAAAATTTTTCCACTCAAACTAATAAATTGATAACACAGGTTAGAATATTTCTTTGTTAAATTTAGCTTTCCTTTTTATATATGCTTACCCTTTTTCCGTTACGCATTTGAAAATTAAACTACACTAAAAATCATTAGGCTTTGTTGTTGTTTTTCTTCTTCTTCTTCTTCTTTTGTGCTGATTGCACAACGAGAAGCAACTCTCTCTAATCCCTAACTTCATCCCACTTGCATGTCATGTAATTCAAATTTAAAACCTCTTACTTCTAACAAAAAGAAATTATCACTAAATTACTTAAGTTGTTAGTTAAACTTCATTTGTTTCGTTCAGCCTTTTTTACATAATGCCTTGTAAATTTATACTTCTTATTACATTTTAATGAAAAAATGGTTTATAGTTTATATTGTTTTAAACTATAAAATATTAACATTTTGATAGAGGAAGGGTCTTAATATCAAGGCCCTTTCTCCCATCAAAGAGTCTTATTTAACAATTCAACTAGTAAAATAATGTATTAAAATGTTAATTGATTAGTGTTTATTTGGGGACTTCCCTCATCAAAAAAATCCCTATT